GGCTGTACACAGCCAGGTCAAAGTTATCAATAGGTGTTGTGGAGTTTGGCCACCTTCAGGTAAATCATACGTGCGACGTGCCTGTAGAAATAATGCTGTTGTTTATCATTTTTTTGCTAATCAATTTGTTAAAACTGGAGGCATTCATATTGTAAATATGAATGAATAATAAACTCTGACCAGTTGCTATAGATCCGATTATGGACCAACATAAGAGATTTAATGCAATTGAAGGCTGCTAACCTGAACTATGGTTTAACTGCGAAATGGAAAATCCATGTGGTATATCGAGTCTTGAGTCTAGACCTGTTTAACTAACTGCATTTTATTTCGTTATTTTTCACATGACTAATATAATACCTTCCTCTCTTTCTGCTGAGTCCAATAAGTACTCAAATCAACTAAACATTATTTGGTCTATCAACGAAATAATGGACTGCTTTCACTATGCAAAATTAAAGGTAGAGCATGTTGGAAAGCTTTCTGCATCCAGTTGGCTCATTCGCTCAGTAGGCTGGTTGAGCATTTTTTGGATTCAGTAGACAGAAGAAAGGGATGGGATTAGTCAGATTCCAAGTAGCGAGAAAGTTTAGCTGGGTTTTCTCAGTTGGGTCAAATCGGCAAACCTGTCTTGGGTCTTAACTGAATTCCTAACAAACATTTTCCTATATTAACATATTTGATCCAGATAGTTATATAAGAGAAACAGTGTCAGTGACTAGATAAGAAATTTGCCAACTTTCCTCTACAAAGCCATCTTAATATGTTTATTTCTAAATACAAGGAGGCAATGTTGAGAGGCATTTGTTAATTGTAACAGTTCATGAAAAAGATGAGGACAAACTTTAATGCTAAGATAAAATTTCAAACAAACTCAAGTGCAAGAGTGAAAGTCAAAGAACAAGTGTACTACATATGCAGTATTAATTTTGTAAAAAAAAAGAATGAGACCCATTCGCTGCAATATAATTTAATATCTGATCCATTTTACTATCCCATATGCATTATAACTGGGCAAGAGAAATAGAAACTGTCTTTCGATGAACAGTGTTCAGTGCTCCTCTATTCATATTGATTATATATGGACTGAAAATGAGGTTCTAAAAAATGAAAGCGAGACCCATAGGTGTTGTGGTTAAATGTTCGGCAAAGGAGGGGCAAGCAGACAATTGCAGTATAGAAGAGACTACAATACTAAAGTGAATGCACGCCAACACTATGATAGTTAACATAAGAAAGACCTGAAAAGACAAATAATAATTTTCCCAACCAAAGCAAAGGTCATGAAGGATAACCAGGATGGTAGGAGCATGATAACGAAGAGCCTAAGAGATGGCAACAAGGAAGCCTTTCTGCGTTAACAAGTCAGGACTCAGGAAAACCTAAAGGATCTAATATGTCATAGATGAAATTAGTAAATTATAACAGACACGGCAATGTTCTAGAAAAAGGATTACAAGGCCGCTTAAATAGCCAGTTAAGCGTGAAAGCAAGCAAACTGCGCAGGAAAATGGAAAAGAGACCTATTATGTGGTCACCTGCATAATCGAGCGCTTTTTCATTATGTGCCCACATAATTAGATTATGCAGGCGTCTTTTTTTTTTAAGAAACGAGTTTCTCAATGCAAAACTCATAACCCATTCCCATCTAACCAAAATCCCTAAAAACTACTATAAATTGCTTTTGATGTATGGATTGAACTTTGAAGTAGTCAACTAGTTATTGATTGCTAAATTGTATTTGTCAGTTTTTTCTTAGTATATTTTCTATTTATGTGAATTTTATATATTTAGCATATGATAAATTATTAAATATATATTAAAAAGTTCAAGAACACATAATTCCACATAATCCGCTTAATCTAATTAATCATTAAAAGCTCATGGACCGCGTAAATAATAAAACCGTGTTTTTGAACATTGAGACACGGTATAATAAAATATAGACCTTAGGCAGGATTTCTAGTAAGATGAAAAAGGAACAAAGGGTGCTTGGGTGCACCTAGACTGAATTCATTCTCACACTATATGCTTAATGTTTGACAAATGCTTTTAACTGTACCACAAGTATTAAGCAATTTGCATAACGGCCCACAAAACACGAAGATGAAACACTTACAGCACAAGAACCCTCCCAAATTTTAAAGTACATGAGCTCTAAATGAAAATTAATTTAAGCTACTTTTACAATTAAAGTAGAAACCAACTTCAGCAACAATCTCCTATTTAGTTATAGAAGGAGATTACCCATCCATGATGGGTACATATCAAACACTTGACTGATAGTTCACTTTTTAACATATCCTAAAACTTAAACATACTAAACAGATTAAAGGTTATATCAAGCATTTAGGCATACCCACCAACATGGGTATGGCACGACATAATAGCACAGTTCAAATACTATAAAATATGCACATGAAATAGCAACAATAACAACTATATGGCAAAATTTGTTGTGTCCAATTTGCTTAACATATGGCAGGACTACATAATAGAAGCATCTAGCTACTTAATATGACACTAATTTCTAATGCTCGAACAGGGAAAAATTAATAACAAGTAAACTGATGAAAAATTGTATCAGGCATTTAGACATACCCACAAACATAGTAAACTGATGAAAAATTGTACCAGGCATATAGACATACCCACAAACATGTGTATGACATGGCACAACAGCAGAGTGCAAATAACATAGAAATATGCCATGAAATATCAACAACTATATGGCAAAATTGGTGTCTCCGATTTGTGTCCATACGGCAGGACTACATATTAGAAGTGTAGATGTAGCATATTAATCTGACGCTAATATAATGCATGAGTAGGGGCTTTAAATTTTATTTGATTTCTAGATTCATCTAGTTTACATTTTCACTTTTTTAATAATCAAAGAGTTTGTATAATTGTTGATTTCAATGCTTGAAAAAGCTTTTTTGAACTCGCTTCGAAACTCGCCTCAAAACTTTTTGAAGAATAAATGCTTCAAGAGTGAAGCTATTTATCCCTCGAAGTGTACGCCTCATCGGTTAAAGCATAATTGAACTATTGAAGTCTGCGCTTCGCGCTTTATAAAGTGCTTCTTTTTTTAAGCGCATACTTTAGACAAGATAAGAGGATATAGAACAAGTTTTGACTAACATTATCTTCAATATGACCATGCAGATATAAATAAGATATGTTATGCATGTAGCTTAGTTTATTATGGTTTGCGTCTATACTTCGCATATTTAATTCTTATTTACTATTTGGGACATGAATGTATCTATTTGTAAATTATCATACCACTATATATGATATGTTCATAACTTTTACAGATTTTAAAATTAAAATGCTTAAACTCATGAGGTTTAATCCTCACCAGCTTACACCTAGCTCCATTAAAGGATCTAGTACTTTGCCTTGCGCTTCTACTTTTTTCACCATTGGTTGATTTATACAAATTGAAAGTATTTTAACTAACCGGTACAAAGTCATTCAAGTTCATGTTGTACAACATTGACACATTAATTTCGTTGTCATATCCACTATGTATATGAATCCTTTGAATTTGTTCTTTCAAACTTATGTCATATCCACTTCATATTGTACCACTACCTAGTCTTGCAAAAAGGTTAATGACAAAGATGTGTATGAATCGTGTGAAACCATTAGTCATTGGTGTATGAGAACACGTTGGAGTGCATTACAACTAGCGTAAATCAAAACCAGCACCCGTATTCAAAGTTTACTTACCCATAACTATCTTTCCAAATCTCAAAAAATTATCTCAAACCGTAGCCCATAAGATAGTATATTATTTCCATGACAACATTATGCTATCTCCAAAAGGAAGCATTACTGACAATCGGGCTAAACTTCAGCCAAATATAGAACAAAATAAATCTATGTAGTTTGAGTGATTAAAGTTGATCAATAGATTCCCATAATTATTATAGTAAACAGAATCTAAAATAAAAGAATCCTTGGTTCCAAAGTGTGCAAAAATGTAGATTTAGCTTCTCAAAAAACTTTGAAAAATAACCGACTGTATAATATAGTAAACAAATATAAACTGTTACTTAAAAAGAGTATGAAAAAACGAGATTTCTTATGCATCAGATTCCAAGCGTTGCAGCATAACTGTGTATTACATTTGAACCTTTTTCTGGATTATTCCCAAAATCAGACCTCTATTTTATTCGAAAAATGTTAGTTTTCAATAAAAAATATGGCATATACTTGTTTACTTTGAGTGATGCATTTAACTAATATTATCATTATCATGCTACATAATTGCTTTTTCATATGATATATACAACTATGAGAAAAAATAGCACTCATTTTCAGAACTGGACATAAAGCCATAAAATTACAATCATGAGGATAATGGATATAATAGTGCAGTGCTCTCATTTGTATCTCATGTATCTCACAGGACATCATTTATGCATGTAAGTAGTCACTCATTGTCAACTATATATCTTATATGGCTCGTGCTATCTTCAATAGAAATATATATCCCATGAATATTAGCTTACAGTACAGGAGTATTCTAACACAATGTTGGTAAGCATACAAGAAGAAAATGAAATTTATATTAAAAAGTTTACAAGTTTCATGTATCTTAGTATCTTAAAGAACTAGAAGCAACTTGTGCAAATTGGGAAATGCATGAGTGGCTACCGAAAAATGAAACATCCAAGAGAATGTTCATAATTAGAATGCTATAACTATCTATTTGCAAAAAAGAATATCTTTTAACACAAAAATGAAGTTGAACCATCCTACTAGGCAATTGGCATTTAAATTATCGTGAATGAGCATTAGACATGCCAGTACTAATTCCATGCAATCCACAAGCATTTATCAATAACACCAAAAACAATCAAATTACTAGGTATATAAAGCATTTAGTGACTCCTCAAATGAAACCACGTAGTAAATTAGATTATTGGCACAACACAAATCAAAGGGTCAGAATGTGTTAAACAGTGAACAGTCCTCGAAAAACTCACTCGATTAAAGCCCGCAATCAACGTGACAGGAACCCATCCCTGCTCATCCATTTTTTGCCGCAGGTACATATCTTTAACCAGATTTTCATTGCTACAAAAAAAATGAAGAGTCTAAGCAACCAACCCAAGGCTAAAGAACCATGCCTATATTACTCCAATGAAATTTACCTAAAATAGTACTCTATCTGCCTCAAAACATCTGTTCGCAGAGTATCCGTAGGATTCAACAACATTGCAGGCGGTATTGCATGAGCCACTGGATGATGAGCAGCAACAAAAGGAGGAGATGCCGGCACATAGAAAAACGGAGGAGGAGGAGGTATTTCCGCTGATAATAGCACGTTCAACATTGATAAGATCCAATAGTACTCCAGCAATAAAGAAAATAAAACTATAAATTCAATATAAACTGACCAGGGAATGCCATTGGGGGAGCGACAAAGGATCTGATTGGAGGAGGAGGAGGAGCGACGAAAGGTGCAGCAGCACCGGGAGGTGGAGGCGGCGGCGATGACCTGATGATCGGAAACCGTGGGTGGTGCCCACGAAGTGGGGCTGGCGCCAGGTGGCGAGGGGGAGGGTTATTCCAATCATTAGCATAGCCCCCACGATCGGGGTCTCGCCGGCCCCGCCATTGTGGGGTCCACTGCTACCACCATTGTTGCCCCGCCGATTGAAGGGCCGATGATGATCAGGTCCACCATGAGAATGTGGAGAAAGACCAGTTCCCCTAGAACTATAGCCATGATCCCAATTGCTATTGTTGTTCCTAGGTGAAGGTTCATGGCCCTGCACAACTGGTTTCTCAGGTAAAATCTGTGGTGGCCTCTCCACCGGAGCAGACGGGATGTGCCCACCATTGGCCATTGATCCGTGATGATTGTTGTTAAAACTGCCTCCACGCCTCATATGTCTTTGAGGCCTAGGATTAGGGTTAGTATTTGAACTGTTTGGGCTCACCTTCATCTGCTGATGATGACTGGGGACAGCAACAGGCGCCTAACAACCAAACAAAATCACCATACCTTCAATCAATAGATGAACAGCCAAAACCCTAACATGCACAGATCTAAAAATAATAATAATAAAAAGATCAAAACTTTACTATAGTACCGGCGCTGGGGGAGCAGTGATTGGATCAGAACTCAAAGACTTCTGAACGGCGACTTTCGACGATTCTCCGAGCGCAGGCCAAGATCCGCCCCCAGATAACGGGGCCCACTTCAAGATTACTGCATTGGCGGGCTTGCTCCATGCAGTCTTCTTCTCGACTGCATTGTTCTCCAACCCCTCGGAGGTATCGGACATGGCTCACACGGTCGCCACGGAGGCGGCGGCGGGCGATGCGGAGGCGCGAGGGGACGAGGGGATGCGGCGCCCACAGCGGCGACGATTGGGCCCCACGGGGAGACAGCGCGATGATCGCGAGGGGAGGAGGGCGCCATGGCGATCGGAGGGGCTAGGGTTAGGATGGGGTAAAAAGGAAAAGGAGTGATTTTGAGGAGGTTTAGTGGGGCAATCAGCAATGAGGAACGATTAGGGCTAGGGTTTTTTTTTCTAGGGTTTCTAAAAATAGGAAGAGAAAGAGGAGGATCCGATGAAGATGCACACCCGAGCAACAGTACTGGCGCTGGCTTCAGGTCTCTCCTCTCTCTCTCTCTCTGTCTCTTTGTTCTCTGCGTTTTTTCCCTTTTTGTTTGGGGTAAGTTTAGGTAAAGGCCCTTACTTTCCTAGAAATTACTTCTTTACTCAGGGTGTTGGTGAGAAGTTGGAACTAGTTTGAACACTTCGAAGCGCATCCAAGTTACAACAACATCCCTTGTTTATTGGATACAAGATTTATTGGGAGATATGAAGTCTAGAAAATACAGTAGAGTTATGATGACGGTCAAATTTGAAAATTGCAAATTGCTAAAAGACTTTATTCTCAAGTTCATTACTCTAAGTTATTTGCTTTTTTCTAGGAATGTATTTCAGAACATAATTTAGCATTAGTTAGTAGTAAAAAATTATCAGATGAGGATCTTTTATTACAGAAAATGTTTTTCTTATTGCAAATAAGTGGTTATTTAACTGCTATTATAAGATGGTTTAGGATAAAGTGCAGATAGCGCCCTCAACTATATCTTTTATTGGCACCTATGATCCGTAACTACTAAAGAGCAATTATCACCCCAAAATTCTTCTTTGAGAAGGTTAAATTATTGATAAGCTCGATTTATCATGGAAAAGTACTGTCGAATGTATAGATATGGAGATTATCTTTAAATTTTCCTTCATTTAATTAGTTCTGCTTCACTACCTTGATGACATTAATTTAAAGCTTTTTTATGTGCTGCAATGGATTGTACTTTTGGTTGCAACCAAATTAATTGCAAGATGAATTTCATTTTTTCTACAAAATAAAAGTCTATTTATTACATCATATTGCTAATAAAAAAATTGACAATTATAATTTAACTATGACCTTTGCTACTGAACATCGATTTCATATCATCCCTTAAATTGGCATGCGAAAGTTGGAAGTCATTTTTTTCCTCTCCTTTTTGCATTTTCTCTAACTATGTATTGGCAACTATATGTAGGCATGTCCATCCGAGCCGACCGGGCCCGGGTCGAGCAAAACCGGAGCCCATACCCGGGCTCGGTTGCCCCGGGCCGGGTCCGAGCCCGGGCCTGAGCATTATTCAAAAAATTTTAATTTTTTTTTCAATTTTTTAAGAATACAAAATAAAAAATAAACACAATTTTGATAAAAAAATATTATATTATTAATCAATTGTAATTATGTAATTTACAAATATAAAAAATTATAGAAATTAAAATGATATAAAATAATTGTAGAAATTATAAAAACAAACAAAATTAAAAATAATTAGAGAATTCAAAGAGCCCAAGAGGCACAAGGCCCAAGGCCCAATCAAATACCTCTAAATATATATGTTGTGGCTAGGATTTGAACCACTAACCTTCTCTCAAAACTCCTAAATTTTACCACTGGACTAAGTAGCCCAAAATATTCATGCCATTCAATATATGTATATGTATATATATACACACACACATATACATATAGTATACGTATATTATACATAAATAAATTGTAAATACTTATAGTAATTACATAAACAAGTTGTATTATATATATATATATATATATAGGGAGAGGTTCTAATAAAAACCTCATTAGCTTAAAAACTAAAAACCTCCTTCATCCAATGGCTAGGATTCAGTCAAACAGTCAACAGACACATGCATTAATTACCTCATTAAACACATGCATTAATTACATCAACGCAGTGAATCTGGATTCACTACAGTGAATCTAGATTTTATATATACATAAACTTATATATACACATATAAGTATATTTATATAAGAGTATAAATATATATATATACACATATATTATACATATATAAGAGAGAGTATACTTATATATACTTATATACCAAGAGAGAGAGTATATACTTATATGCATAAACTTATATATACACATATAAGTATATTTATACTAGTTCTTGTGCACGTGCAATGCACGTGGTTAGATATCAAATTTATTTATTTTCTTACTAAAAAATAACTCAGATTCATTTTGAATTAAAATCTATAAACATGGATTATTATTTTTATCATAAATTTTATTTAAACATTTAAAAAAATTATGAAATAGATTTGTGTGTAAAACTGGGATCAATATACTTTTATATACTTGCATACACAACATTATTTTTTAAAATTTGTATATATCAAACTTCATGTAACATATTTTTTTATCGGATTAAATCATCGATGTCCAATTTGTTTATCCTAATCATTAAATGTAGTGTTAAGTTTAAAAAAATACAATAATATATTGTTGATGTGTTAATAAAAATATAACCAAATACCTAATATTAAGATGACTTGTATAAGCTCAACACAAAGCACATACTTTTCACAAGACTGGAAGACATCTTAATTATTGATAAACTTAAAATAAATACTAAAGAATAATTGTGACTCTAGTATAATTTTACATGACAAAATCATTCACATGAGCGTATTAAAAATATTGCATGAAAATCCCTTCTAAATTTTCCTAATTTTACTCAAAAATTAAGTTTTACTATAAAATATTCAAAAAATATTATCATTTATTCGTTCTTTATTCATATTTAATTGAGTTGAGATCAATCCTTCTCCACCTTTATATTTTTCTTATGCAATTCTACGGTAGTGTCTTCATCATCTACATCAATTGTGATATCATGTTGGTATATAATAAAGAGAAAAAGACAAGACAATAGTATAGAAATATATTAGGATATATTTGGATTAATCAAATTATATTATTAATCATAATTGATATGCATCATATACAAAATGTGTTGATAGTCTTAAACTATAAAACAAACTATTTGGGCCCTCTAACATAACTTTTTTAAATCAAGCAACCATCAAGCTTAATTTTGAAAATCTATTGGGGATAAAACACTAACAAGTTTGCAGTGGAAGATAGGGGAACTTAATACATTCTTAAGAATTATTAATTTTTACTTAATTTGTTTATAATGACAGGATCTCATTATTAACTAACTACAAGACCTAGTACATTATTTTTTTTATTGGGTGTTCAAGGCAAGCAGAGGACCAAAGTGAGTCCTCATCGTAATGAATGTTATACAATTTAAGTACAAAGAAAAAAGGAGGGTTGATCAATGGTGTAGTTTGGGAGGGAAAAACTCCAGCAACTTAATTTGGGTATGTGGATATATTATAAATAGAGATGGAGAATGGTGGTTTTGAAAACAGTGATGTCTTGGG